TTTGTCACCCAAAAACAGTTGGAATTTTAGATCTCCCAAAGTGATACAAGTTTAGAAATGCATCTGTGACTACCAGTGACATCTACCCAAATGAAATCTGTTCCTAGTTGGCAATGGACAACGCAGGGAAAATTTCCGCAACGCACAGGAAATTTTAAATTCCAGTGACTTTTTGAAAATACGCAGTACGGCTTTTAAATACAGTGAGGTCAAATTTTTGAAAATCGTAGAAATTGTAGAAATGAAATTGATTTTTTTTTAAATGAGCAAATATCATTATTGGTTGAGAAAATTTCAGATCAACTTCAATGAAGATACAATATTTTTAGACATAAAATGAACTCAGCTAATCTTATTTTGCAAAGAACATAACTACAGCATTTGAAATCAAAACTCATAATTTGTAAAAATTCCACTTCGAGCCTATGAAACCCTTTTGAGCAAATAAAGCAAATATTTTATAACCAAAAAACAGTTGGAACTTTAGATCTCCCAAAGTACTGTAATACAATTTTAGAAATGCATCTGTGGCTGCCAGTGACATCTACCAAAACGAAATCTGTTCCCAATTGCCAATGGAAAACGCAGTATTAATTTTGTCGTTCTATATATTTTCATTTAGTTGATCTGACATTTTCTCGACCATTAATCATTTTTTTTCTGAGAATGGGAAGAGAGAGGGTTTGGATGTGGGAACATCGTAAATTAATTGTAAATTATTTCCTATTGGAAATGTTTCTCTCACTGTGGCAGCTGTGGTCTTTGCGGAGCTTGAGGAAATCCAGCGGCGATCGCCAAAGTGGCGCACATCTGGGAAATTTTGCGTAAAAGGAAAAATTTCCGAGACGCACAGGATATTTTCCATTACACAATGTAATTTTTTGAACACACCGTACGGCCTGTAAAATAAAAGCAATGCCAAATTTCAGAAAATCGTAGAAATTCTAAAAATGAAATTGAGTTTTTAGAAATGAACAATATGATTAATGGTCGATAAAATATCAGATCAACCTCAATGAAAATATGTTCAGACACAAAATGAAATCAGATTATCTAACTCGAGCAGAAAGAGTATCAGCGACTTCAACTTCTTGCACTCGGTCCAAATTCGCTGTCCCAAAACATACAGAATAACCAGGCTTGTAAAGGCCTACATAAAGTTTCAGGGAGTGGCAAATTATCTAACTCGAGCAGAAAGAGTATCAGCGACTTCAACTTCTTGCACTCGGTCCAAATTCGCTGTCCCAAAACATACAGAATAACCAGGCTTGTAAAGGCCTACATAAAGTTTCAGGGAGTGGCAAGGTGTATATAAGAACTCCGAACCACAACAAGTCACTCTGATCAAAAGCGGGTCATCGTTCGGTTCAAATCCTTCGCATCTTCATCAGTGTTTGCTGACGAGAGAAAAAAAAAATCATGATCCTCGCGTTCATGGTAGGTTTTCATTTCTCGAGAAATATACTTGACAATTATTGATCAAGCATGCTTTTTACGCAAAATTTCCCAGATGTGCGCCACTTTGGCGATCGCCGCTGGATTTCCTCAAGCTCCGCAAAGACCACAGCTGCCACAGTGAGAGAAAAATTTCCAATACGCATTAATTTACAATTAATTTACCATGTTCCCACATCCAAACCCTCTCTCTTCCCATTCTTAGAAAAAAAAAATATCATTAATGGTCGAGAAAATGTCAGATCAACCTAAATGAAAATATATAGTACGACGAAATTAATACGCAAGTTCTCATCATCTGTCCTGATTTTTGGTTTAAAATCGAAATTTTCTAAGATTGATCAGTTGAATCAAATTGGGATCTTGAGAGTTTCCTCAATTCTGTTACAGTATTAGGAACGCTAACGAAACATTTGAAGATAAATTGAAATTTTGATACTAATTTTCTCTATTTTTTTTCTTGCAGGCCTCCTCCTGCACTGAGAGACAGCAAATCTTACCTGAACCCCTTCGTACCCACTCTGACCTACTCTTTGCCATACAACTTCCAATACTCGGCTCCTCACTACGTCTTCCCACTTCCGGATTCCATCAAATCATCCGAGGTCAAGAAACCTGGCCCAGAAAAAGTGGAAAAACCAGTTGAATATACCGAAAAGCCCAAAGAAGAGAAGAAGGAAGAATTCGTGAATTTCGTCAAATACGCTCATCCAGTGTATCCCCAGTTTTACCGCTTTCCAAATTATCCGGTTTACAGCCCTGTCTTTCCTTTCCCAGCAGCCCCATACCGTTTTTTCGATTTTTGAATTGAAACAATAACAAAAAAGACATGGTGTCACAGCTCAAAATCCTCAAAACCCGATGATCAATAAAACAATCCCATTCTCTACAACAAACAGCCTGGCTCTACATTATTCCACATTATTGTAACCCTTGAAGGGTTACAATGACTGCAACACAGACGACGTCGTCAATTCCATTTTTTGAATCAGAAGAAAATCATCCACTTGATAAGACGTAGACGGTTCAAAGCAGTGCAATAAAAAAAGAAGAAATCAAAATGGGCCCGAACAACAAATAACAAGGATCTTTAAACAGGACAATATATGCTTATTTTAATGAAAAGAAGAAAAAAATTCAAGACTAGGATTCGCCAACAGTTTTATTGGGGCTTCCCTGTAGTGAACCAACCACGCATGACAGTAAAATTAGATCGTTTATAAATAACGTTGAATATAATGACATGTACGCCAAAAAGAGGAAAAAATAAAAATTCCCAAGATTGGTTGAATCAAAGAGTGGCAAGATTTTTAACGATTCGCTGAGAAAATGGGGAAATAAGCCTGAAACACGACGAAAAATTCACGTTCTGTATTCGGTTTTTTT